AGCTCTTACAAGGAACTGAGACACATATACAAAGATGCAGGCACTCCTACCTCATGGACTGAGACATGGGGGGACGTTCCTATGCTACCTCTTATTTCACATTAGGTTGCTGAGGGAAGGCACTTGCTAGTTTACTGGCTACATGGCTTTAAGGGCAGAAGGTACTGTTTCCACACAGTACAGGCCTGCTTGGTTATACTGTCTCAGTAGTTTTAGGGGAGAGACCCTGCACTTTGTTCTATTGCACAGATCATGTACACCAGTAAGACACAGCAGCTGAGCCTCGGGTGTTTGATTTTTTGGTGCTCCAGCCAGAAAGCTATCGTTAAAAAAAAAAACAAACAACCTGCTATCCTTCCCTCTCCAAATGTCCTTTAGAAAGTTGAAATAACATGTTTTATTTTGGTATGGTCATCTCAGGAGCTTCAGTGTCATCTAAGTTCAGTAGTTTTATGGACTGACCTATAAAAATTACAGAGACTAAGTGAGAAAGAATTCCATACGATTGGCAGGTATTGAATCAACCCTGGCTCAAGGTGCAAGTGGTTAAACTCAGAAGTCCTCTTCTGTTTCTGCTTCAGATTTTGATACAAATGAAAGTATTTTGCAAATGATTTTTCAAGAAGTCGAGTTCAACCTGATCAAAATTCTCCTGCTGTTCTGTTATGCATATTAAGGAAAACAAGTGCTGCATCAAGTCCCTGTTGTATATGGGATGCAGGCTTGGATGTTTATTTCCTGTGGAAGGAATCAAAAAGTTTATCTTTGCTACTTCTGCTTTCTGGCTGGAAAAAAGTTTTATACAAGTAGCACGGGTTGCTGACAGCTGTCCCTTCTCATGCATACAGAGATCGTGTTCCCCGAAAATGACAGTGTGGGCTCTGAGAAAATACTGTGGGATGCAATAGACAGTGCAGTGATTCCCTAGGAGCTGTGATCTGTGCTTTTTTTTTTTGAGCTTCTTCTAGCAGCTTTTATAATCTTCTGTTGCACACATAGCTAGCATCCCTAGATGAGAGCAGCAATGCATTCCTGTAGGTCCTGTGCATACTTAAAAATGTGAGTGGCTTGGTCTAAAGATCCATCTTGGTCTAAAGATCCAGAATTATTCAGTGTGTTGAACACATGCAGACTGCAGTGTCTGACAAAGTCACTCTGCTCTGATGTAATAAGATGCAGAATATGAGCATCAAATTGTATTGTTTTCACTGTTTTTTATAGAGGAGTCTTTGGGAGAAGGAAAGATGATAATGTTAATGTTATGTTAAACATCTCGTCTGATTAGCTGAGGAGGAAATTCTATCAGACCTCTCCCAGACAAATATAGCAACATGAAAGATATCCATGGTTTCACCTGATCTCCAAACAGGTCATTAATAGTAATGAAACTTCAAAGACTCTCAAGTTAATTCAATAAACTTCTAGCTTTAGCCATCAGGATTTTTTTTAAGAAAAGTAATCTTTCAATTTAGCTACATAAATTATTAGCATTGTTTTGAAAAAATCCATAAGAATATTCCATCTTAATTAGAAATAACTGTGATTTCAGTTCTTTCATCTATTGCTGACTTGGTTGGCATCATATCTGAAAGACCGTCAAGCTGCTAGCAACGTTAGATTAAAAGCAGAAGACAGAAATGTCTATAGAAGATGCAAGAATATTGCCTAAATGAAAGAACCAAAATGAAAATCCATAGTCAGAGCCCACCTAATGGTTGCCAGAAATATAGTTTCATAGACATCTAAACCACATAGTATTTTTAGAATTATTTACTGATATGAATATCTGTAGTAAGCCATTTAATAATGAAACTCAGAAATAGTATTTCAAAATATTATCATTTGAGCACATCTTAAAAATAAGTTTTGAATGAATTTATGAATGGTTTCTCTCTAGCCTTTCCTCTAGTCCCTAGAGCTGTGATGAGCCTGAGCACAGGAATCCTATTGAAGTCCTACCTTTGTGGTTAAACCCAGAGAAAAACAAGAATGAAAACCAAAAAAAAAATGCTTTTACTAATAATCACTATTATGGCAGGGCAGGGTGAGAAAAATAGAAGAGAATCACAGATTTGCTTTCTTGTAGATCCATTGGCTCCAACACCCCCTAGATCGCGTGAAGAAGCTGGAGCTATTTTCTAGGCTCTGTAAAGTTTCTTCTTGGCATGTCACTGAATGTAGTAATATTTTCTTATCAGTTGTTTATAATGGGAGAATTTAAACTTTTGTGTCTGCTTCTTTAGAGCAAGGAGGAACTAGGTCCTAGACATGGTAGGTGATTTTAGTAGAATATTAGACAATTATTACATAGTTAACCCATAAATGGAAGTCAATCACTAGGAAAAGTTTTTGGTGTTACACTAAAATGCTGCCATTTTTCCCTTTTGAGCAACAATGTGCATACAATTCTGTTTCAAGGCCAGAGTGATTTATTGAGTTTCTAACACTTTATTTTGCAGCTGGGCATTATTTTTTGTGCTCACAGGTACACTGCACATTAATTAGTTTTGTTTACCTATGCATATTTTTTCTTAATTTCACAACAGTAGTTTTTGTAATTGACAAAGCAATTTACTGCATGTGTGCTTTCTGCACCCCAGACAAATACTCTAACATGTAGCGCACCTTTCTTTCCAGTTCAGATTGTTAAGAAAAGAATTAGTTGTGACTAATTGCCAATTAATTTGCAGTGGTTTTAGGGAGGAGGGGGAAAAAACAATTGCACCTACTAATTAAAATTTAAAATATTCCAAAGTGTCATCTTTAGGTGTCTGTGGAATACATAATTTCCATTTTAGTTCTGCATTGGATCTGTAACAACCCTGAGCTTGACAGCTCTATTAATTTAAAACCTCAGTGATACCTATTAGTACAAAACATGAAAAAAATGCCATTAATCATTTATTTTAATTTTGCAGCTCTGTCATTTTCTCAGTATGTTTAAAAATTATGATGACACCGTAATGTTTTCCAATCTACCTGTGTGAAGGGGAAACGGATCACACTACTTAGGAGAGAGACTAGAGTATATTATTAGAGCTTAATTAATGCCAAACTGATTAGATTTGATTGCACTTCGCACAATAATATTGTTAAGAAATTTATTTAAAAGATGTGTTGCATAACGCTATATTTAAAACAACTGGTCTAGATCTGAAAAGATTTTGACCAAAATGCCACATAATGCAAGTCACAGGTTAATTTTGTTTAGCACTGCCTACATTCTATAGGTCTTATTCATACCATGATACCCAGTACAGCTCTTGACCACCTACGGGAAGATAAAAGTATTTGATACTCCTGTGATATGGAGGTGTAGCATCCCTCCATTTCCTGCAAGGGGAGCAGCTTATGGGCATCTAGACTGTGGGAAAACCATCATACCCTCAAGACTACCAACATCCAAACCCTGCGGATAGCATGGAAAAAAGTGACTGTAAACTAACATCCAACTTGATAAGTTTTTTCTGTCAGGTTTTTTTTTCCTCTGTCCTTAAAATACAGAGTTTCTCTCTTTAACATTAGTTGAAATATTATAAGCAGAGCTGTTTATCTCTGTTTCCAGTTTTCTACTGTCATTTAGCATTGTAGTTAGTACCTGTATTTATAGCAACACGTTCTGTGTTAATGGTAAATATTTAGGCATTCTGTGAAGTCAGGGACACGTAGGTAACCAGCACATATTGTAGAAAAGAAACATGAAAGCAAAACTGACTGACCTAAAAGATACCACACTGAAACTATTGATGCTCACTGCTTTTCCTTTAGTGGATGCATTGTATTAATGTGGCTTCAAGGCATATTTTGAAACTCTGACCTGCTCCTGAAACAAATAAATGTCTGGTTTATTCATTTATAAATATCTTTAGTATCACAAATTCAGGCTTCTCCTTTATCAGAACATTTGCTATCAGCAAACAGGGAGCAATTACCATCTCTTCTTTTAAGAATTATGCTCTTTTTAATTAGTTCTGGTGTTCCTCCCATGAATACATCATTGGATAGACTTTCTAGTACCGGGAAGGTGATTTCAAAATTGCTAATACAGTATTTTTCTGCTAAACCTATTTACTAGATATACCAGCCTTCTAAATTTCCATGATCATGAACTCATCAGATAAAATCTTGGCCTCAATTAGTGAATGAGAGTTTCACCATTGGCTTCAACAGATTGAGTTTAGCTTATAATGTTGCGTATTGGGCTTACAACAAAAATCCCTGATATCTTAGCAATTTATGCAGCTATTTACTTTCCCCCTAAATGGAATTTTGTTATTTTCTCATTTTGCCTATTTTTAAATATAAATTCATGCTGAATATGCCAAATAGAAATTTTTTTTTCTCCAGCAGCACTTCAGGCACTCCCCTAATTTATGTTTAAAATGTCCTGCATATTTTTTGTAAGTAATATATTTTCAGTAAAACTGAGTAAATTATCTCAAAAATTATTTTCCAGAATTCCGTAGTAGTTTGTATGGGTATGTTTGTCAGGGCATCATCAGTTCCTAAAAATATGTTTGGTTAGGGTTTGAGCTTTTGGGATTTTTGTCTGAGCGATCTCTTTTTCCTCTGTGTGTGTAAATCACAGATTCACCTAGGAAAAATTAAAACAAAAAAAAATAACAGGTCTTATTTAAAGCTTTTATAATTGTGCTTCTACTAAAAAAGATGCAAGGTTGCTTGCTGGGTGAAAGAGAAATTGAATGGTAAAAGTTAAGTCTTTAGACATTCCGTGTGCACGCACATAGAATCTATGTACAGCTATAAGTAGAGATTTAACTAAATTAAATCTTGGTCATTTGTAATTAATGATCTTAATTTTTTTGTCCATTTCAGTCTCCCATACAGCACTTTCAGAGTTCAGTCCTACTTTGACCTATAACAGCATTCCTCTTTCTGAGACCCTCAGTGCTGCTTCCCATCTTAAAGTGTGTCCTGTCACTTGTCACCCAAACTCACAGCACCAACTCCGGCGCTGCTGCCACTATGAAAACAGAAGCAGAAGTGAGAGTCCAGGGCAGCAGTGCAGTTCCTGAAAGTCACAAGAAAGACAAAATCAGCCTATTTTAGGCAAGGTAGTGCAATGGTCCAGCATGTATTACAAACATACTGATCTCTTTTTATCATGAAATCAATGTTATCATTGTTAAGCAATGTAATGTTAACATACACTACCATGCATAAGTAAACAAAGATACTTTAAGTTTACACATTATTTTTGTAGTTTCAGAATGTAAAATGCATTTTACACTACTGGAATCATGCCAGTTTATAACAGTTGAAAATGTGTCTTGAAGAAATGCATATAGGACTCCATCCCCGTGCGCATGAGTGGTTAATCATGTTCATGCATCTTAGCTGATCTCAGCTGATAGGATACAACATACTGAAGAGGTCATGGTCTCTGAAACAGATGGCTCCAGCCAAAAAAGAACATTATAAATGATAAACATTTTCTCAATATGTAATTGCATTCATCCTCGGCAGCACTGAACAGCCCCAATCCAACATACAATCTGTATGGGGTCTCAGGATTACCTCACCTCTTCATACTAAAGCCATCTTTTGAGCTTTGCTCTTTTATTCATTTTAAGATGGAATTACTATGATTTACCTCTGAAAGGAAACTCTGAGACCATTTCTACTGCCACATAATGGCCAAATCTTGCAATAAACTGAATCCTCATGACTCTCAAAGAATTCACCCACAGCACCTGCAGATTTCTTCATGTATTGATCCTCAGGGTCAGGTTGATGTCATCACTGTTCCTGAGCTCTCAGATATGTCTTATGAAGCATGTGAAAGTTACAAAAGTCCCCAAGGCAATTTTCCAGGACCAGATCGTCAGCTGGTATAAAGTGCCATCAATGGAATAATGCCAATTTACCCCAACTACACATTTGGCTTCCAAAGTGGTGCCTGAAGCCGAATTTCTTGTGAGAAAACATGTTGATGCCAGTCTTTGAAAGCGAGAGCTATTATCCATGTGAAATTAATCTATGTTGCCAAAAAAAACCCCGTATGCTAAATTCGATACTAATGAACAACGTTGACAAAAACAGGTCACGTATGAAATTCAAGACTAATGAACTAAGGAGGAATGGAGATGAGCATTTGGAGAGTAAAGTAAAGGCTCTGATAGAGTTAAACCAACCCACTCATTCTGTTGAGATTTTTATGTTTCTGTCTCCTGATATTGTAAAGTAAATTTCCACCCCAAGAAACGTCCTGATCTATATTTTAATGAGCCTCTCCACGTGACATACATTTTTTGTTTCATTACTATTAGTGAATGACAAGTGAAGGATATTCATTTTAACTTGAAAATGTCAGGTATGCACTTTAAGAGATATATTTTTCCAGTTTTTAATGAGGTGGTGTTTCTTTTGGAAAGAAATACCCATCTCTGATGTGGGTACTGTGCAGGTGACAACTGATATTTAATAAGTGATGGTTCTTGTATTAGTCGTAGTTCACTAAAGAAAATGTCTCGGATTGCTTTTGAAAAACTCTTAGCGTCACTAGCCCAAAGGCAAGATGTGACCTTTTTATTACATAATGAGAATCATTTATTATCTTACAATGTATCTTAAAGTCACAGACAAAATGCCACTTTGATAATTGCTTTCAATTAGCTTTGAGCATAGCATACATTCATAAAATGTCTTCTCTAATTTAGACTTGAATTAGAGAAAATTGCAGACATAATCTACTTTAAGGTTGTCTCATTTAAGGTGATTCGTAGTTTTATATCAAAGAAATCAAAACGGGTGGCTTTAGAGCAGTCTTGCAAAGTGTTTTAAATCGGCTTTTCAATATTTGAGTCTATTCTATTAACAATTAATTAACAAATTAGAATGCTAGTTCATCTTTTTTGACCTTTTTTGTGTATTAACTTTTGACTTTTGCTCATAATGGTTATTTTGAAATTAAGTAGTGTCATGTGTTAAAAGAGAAGTACAGCTTGATTAGATGCATAAATAAAGCATACAAAGACATAGCTTATATCTCAATAATAGGCAACAGCTTGGTCTGTCAGCATGTATGTCCTTTCCAACTTCTAAATTCTTATTCATCTTGTAGATATTTAAAATATTCAACAGCAAGCAATAAATCCACACTCAAAAAGTAAGATTGCATATTGGCATGTATTTTATTGCATATTATTTTTAATATTGATTGTGTGTATAATTTAAAGTATCTGTGGAAACAATGATTACACATAGATTGGTTTACTGCACGTGTAACATCATTCATAAAAAATACAGGTATTTTCCTTTTATCTTTGATTAAATGAAGAAGGTTTGGAAGTCGCATATAAAGATAATTCCGGCATCTCAGATACTTGGAATTGAACTAGCTCAAGGGATAACTCTTTTTCTTCTTTCTTCCCCCAGATAAAAATTACTCACAAGAACCAAGCCCCCATGTTGATGGGACCTCCTCCAAAAACCGGTCTTTTCTCTTCTATCATCAAAAGAACAAGGAACCACAGCAAGGAATAAGCCTATGTAGTTTAGTTTTTAGAAAAACCAATTAGCTTTGTTGGGCTTTGGAATATTTATGCTGGAAATCTTTCAAGAATTTTAGAATATCTTCTACTTGCAAAATCATGGATTTTGGTTTAACAGTTTCCGTAACTGAGCTAATGTAAAACTATGCTATTAGAAAAAAATATTGTCACAGTTTTGTAGGCATTTTGCATGATGAAAGCAGATGTTTACATAAAGTGATACAGCATATTTTTTGTTGCATGCGTTACCATTTACTAATCTATGGGCTAATTCTGCCATGGAATATGGGAAGAGAATGCCATGGGTAATTTGATTTTCTTTCTTTTCCTTTTCAACTTTTTCTACGACAATGTTCATAGGCCATAGGTTCAATAGTATCTTTTGAATGAAATATCTTCACATCAATAGCCAATTAGACCTGTTTCAGAGTAAAGTTTATGACAGGTCTCATTAACCTGTTTAGTTTATCATTTCTTTCTACCCTGAGAATATTTTTATTCAGCTAAACATTAAAATCTTTTATCTTATTCTGATAACTCCTATGTATGTCAGTAACTGTACCTGCTGAAAACATCTAACAATGTGTGCAGTATTCAAATGATCATGATTGATTACTCTTGTGTAAGTTTTTGTATGATTGGAAGTCAATGCAAGTTTGAGCAAAAACTATAAGGCTAAGGAGATCATGCTTAAGAGTGAAGATAGTAATACTTGCAAAACTAGCCATCAGTGTTTGTTGAAACACTAGAATTATTTTAATGAGCAATACATCTCTGTACTATGGCAAACTTTAAATCATTCTGCATATTGACTGATAGTATAGTGCGTATGCACACAAATAACCAAAGCTCATGCCTAATAAAGTGCATTTCCCACCAAAGATTTAGTGAAGGATGCTTCAGAGAAATGGTTAATGCATAATTAATCAAGCTCACTGGAGTAGACTCACTTCTGAAAATTTACAGTTCTTTTGATTACATTGGCAATGTCCAGGCAAATATTGGGGTAGGAAAAAACATTAAATTAATTGCAAGTAAATACTCACTTTTCATTTGTTTCATAAGTCGATAGACATAGACATGTACTCTAATTATTGGAAAATTCAGCTTATATCTAATTTTGTTGTCATTATTATTTATAAATTTGTGTCATTCATAATTTACTCATCCCCTAAATTAATCTCTTAAGGAAAGGATAAACTGTTCTCTATTCCTCTTTTCTAGTCTGCTGTCTGGAATCAAAACATTTTAGTCATAAATTTGGGGGAGGCAGTTGCTCAGGTTTTTACTTTCTTAGCCCTCTGAGAGACTTCCTAACAGCTTAGAAATCATAATACAGGGATTTGTCTGAGGTTTGCACAGCACTGTCTAATGTTGGAGGGAAGTCCAAGAATGGCAACTTTTTTCAATCTTGCATATAAACAGTCTCAATCAAAACTTTTTGTGCAGTCTTAACATTGTTCTTTGTTCAGAGTGAGCTGCTTCTCAGCTCTGCATGTCTTAAGTTCTCAGAGATTTCATCAAAAAACAAACAAGGAAAAAATAAAAGTTTGCTTGAAATGCATGATTTCCCATTTTTATCTAGACTTTAAAATGTTAATGATTTATCAAATCTATTTTTCTATTGATTCATTCATCCATTAAAAATAGTATTTCATCATTCTGTAGTGCACGGTTCTGTGCATGTATTTAAATAAAGTTACTATCATTTGTTCTTCAGTATAAGAATTCAACAGAGTCCTAATTTATATAATAGACACTGACATAAAAGTCAGTATATAGTTGGTAAGGATTATGTCTTTGAAATATACAGTCTGTGTTCTGTAAACATTAGGAGGTAAATACCAATTAATGTTATGTTCAGCATTAGGTAGAAAAATATGAGGGCAATTATTTGCTAAAATTAAGATCTTGTAATTCCCCATTCTTGGGTCCAGTGGTGTTGACAATTACAGTTACTGTAGGAGTAAACTAATATTTTTCCTGTACGTTGCAAACACACACACACACAGAAGCAGTTGATGGAGTCCTTAGCTGCAAACATCCATAAGTATAGAGCAAAAGGTATTTGCAAAAAGAAGGAACTTGCTGACATAATATTACATAAGGTGTACATTGGTTTTATGAAATTATGGTTACAGGTGATAAATATTTTCACATAACTTGACATAGGATTTTCTACCAATGCTCTCAACTTTTTGTGGCAAAAATGTGTTTAATGATAATATATAATGTGCTCTCTATGATTATCTCATGAACATTGTAACTCTGAAAACAAATAAAATTATGCATAAGCTATTATTTAATAATGTATGCAATTTTAAGTGTGCCAGTCTCTGATAGCAAATTGTTCACAACACACTTTTTCATATAAAGAGGGATAAATGGGTTCATGTAATCACAGTTACATGCAATTCTGACTAGACATATAAAAGGTAAATCATCTGTCGGTCAGTATATATCAAATTCTCACTGTAGCAAAATATTGGCACTTATTGTAGTAGTGACATTCTGTCTATTAATCTTGTTTGTTTGGTTTTTTAGCATGGCCTCTAATAATTTAAACTCATGCTCACCTTGAAAGTATTGATGGCAAAGATAAAATCTTAGAGTACATAAAACATAGTATGACAGGGAAATGCTTTATTTAATGAAAGAGAACTTTGGGAGGGGGGTCTGGGGTTTTTTTCACTTCAGTATGCACAGAATTAACATAATGAAATTATACATTGGTGTATGAAGTGAAACAAAGAATATATGCATGCATCTTCATACAGCTGAAATAGATGTGCTGTTCTTACATTGACTGAAGAGTAGTAGCTGTAAACCTTCCACTGTTCACAATGAGGTATTCTTTAAGGCCTCATTAATGATGTTTGCAATATCAATGGAAGTTGAAAATATATAGGAATGATACCTGACACTGGATTTGCAAATTTTTCATCTCCCTGCTAGAGCATTGCAGCTGGGCAATGTGCTGAGGAAAGAACATGACATCTCAGGACAAAATCTTAACTTCTGAAATTGGTTAGCATCACTCTCACTTTGCATGAGTTCCTGTTAAAAGAAGGTGGAAGCAGAATCTGTTGCAGAGACAAATACAGAATTACTGTTTCCGGTACTTGCAAGATATTTGTATGCATATCATCAGGATTATTTAAAGCTAGTCATGATTTAGGCTTATTGGTGTGTGTACGTGTATGTGCATGCTAGATCAGGTAACGTGCTGTTGTGCTTAGGACTTTGATGAGCTAGGAAGCACTTAGTTTCTGAAGCAGAAGTAGATGTTCTATAACATTTCCTTGCTCTTATCATCAGCTCTGTAGTATTGCATGTAAATCGCAACAACGATTAGCTAATATCCAAAATTATTTAAGGCAAATAAAGCCACAGACTTCAACATATTTCAAAATATCAGTGTGAGAAGTAATATAATCAAAGTATGTGTGGGTTTAATATAATTAGTGTAAGAAAGGTAGAAAAAGACTTTTTTTTTTAATCTCTGGGTTAATATTCGTTTACTGAGACTATTCATTGATTATTAGTGACTCAGGGTATTAGTGCTATTCTGTAACAACCCCAACTGGCTTCTGGGGCTTGTAATTCTGAGGCGGATCATAGCCAAGACCAAGGCTTTCTGGGAAGCAGTTACTTTAGAGAAGTGTTGTCCCTTACCTCTCTGGAAGAGTGACTGCAGAGAATGGCTACAAAACTGAAAAAAATGTCAGGAATATATCTTTAGACAAGGAAGCATGAGAAGTTCAGAGAACTCTGCTAAGGAATGGCACAACAGATGCTCAAAGCAATGTGTGAAAGGGGTGGGTCTCACTAAGGCAGCCCACAAAATGGTGGTGTGGGACCTGGGAGACCAGATGAAGGCACTCAGGATTAATGAGCATTGATGTGCCAAGGAAGTGAACTAATTAGTTTAATCTAGAGACCCCTTCCTGTTAGGGCTCAAGGATTTGGGTAGTGTTTCTTTCACTCATGGGGAGAAAGGTTGTCTGAGAGGAGTGAGGCCCAAGGAGAGGAACAACTGAGCCGTTTGCATGAAGTGAGAAGGACTTGTGAACAAAGGAGAACTGAAGGATGGTCAAAGGCAGGTAAAGGACTTGCCAGGGCATTGTTTATTTCTGAGTACTTTCATACCCTGAAAAAAAGAAGACATTTGCCCTTGCTGTTAAACAGCAGTTTGCTAAGCTGCAAAACAGCTAGCACAAAAATAAATAAATAAATTTAGAAAGCTGAGGTGGGCCTGAGAAGCACTGCTCGATGTTTTATGCAAGAGCGGTGAAGAATGTGTCAGCCTCTTGTCAGATAATTGCTGATTGTCTCTAGCTCCCTCAGGTCTGAAAGCATTTTGTTTTCTTTCCTCTGTCCATAAGGAAGGAAACTTACTGTGGTCCTGCTGCAGTGAGTAATAGCCTTACTGTAGCCCTGGGTGGAAAATAAATAAAATATAGGTGAGATCTGAAAGCTGAATCTGTTAATGAGATATAAATTAATAGGCTAAAATCCATGGCATGCGAGGCTCTGAGGGTGTGCTGTGCAGCAATGACTGATGGTACAAACTGTCTTCAGGCCTGTCAAGGTTTTCTGGTTTCTGCCCAACCTGGGCTTGTGCCATGGTGAGCCTTCTGACTCTTACACCCTATTTACACTCAGACTATGGATTTTCAGTTGATTTTGAAATAAGGAGGTTTGACTTTTCCTGTTCTGATTTGTCTGTCTGTGACATGGATGTGGACGGAGCTTTCCCGTTATCAGGTTCTCTTAATTTTACAAGTATAGCTGAAGTAGAGAAACTTCTCTATGACTATTGACTTCCATTATGTGAAACGGCCCAACAGCCTGAAACTATAAATAGGTGACGATATGTTCTAGGCATCTAGAATCTGAGCATGGTGATATTTCAGAGGCTGCTCTTTTTCCTTTCTGATTCATGATTCAAAGAGACTACCTGAGAAGCACCTCGGGGTTCTCTTTAAATAT